AAGCTTAATGTGAGAGGTTAGAAAATGGTTCTGGCTGGCTATTTTCCTTTCAGTCTTACAGAAACTGAAACCCCAACGAAGAAGTATCATAAATCACTTTCCTCCCCCTGGATATAATGAAACCCATTCCTGCTACACAGCAGTAAGTGTCCAGTTGTATTACAAAGCATTTGCACTGGAAAACATAGAGATTTAGCAATGACCAGTAAGCCATTCACCCAGCAGTTTTTAGGACTGAGTTTTACAGCATTCAAATGGAAAGAAATTATGGGATGGAACTGCAGTCCCTGTTCAGCCCTGCCTGTGGCTTCAGACCATGGCTGCTGCTGCTTCATGAGGCAGGCAGAAAAAGAAAGAAGGTAATCTGTCACAACAACTCTTCAAGGGTTGTGACAAATGCATTAAATACAAATGAAAATCTATATTAATAAAATTGTAATCACTTCAAAGACACAGCTATAGATTAATGTCACACTGTATGATCTGACATCTCTACAACTTGTTAAGAACCTGGAAGCAATGGTCACATCCTCCTTGATGAAATCATTATTACTAATGGACTGGTAAGTTACTTCACTGATTACACCTTTTCAGGTAATTATAACAGAAAGATTGACTGGTTTGAATGAAAACACACATCTTTCTAAGCTCCAGCAGAAGAATGATGAGTGAAAAGGATGGTCTGCAAGTCTCAGAGCAGTGTCCCCAGAACATCATTCCCCAGCAGTAAAACTGCAGAACATGGTGTTTATATTGAGATCAAAAGGCCTGCACTCTGATAAATCAAACCACAGCAGAAATGATTCACTGGACCCTGCATCCTAACATCAGAAGCATACCAACAAGGCTGCAGCATATCACGTACACCATTCCCTTTCTCCTAATCCAAGAAGAGCACAGACCACCTTTAAAGTATACATTTAAATCAGGAAAAACAGACAAGACACAGCAGCATGGACTAAGATCTACAGAGGCTAAAGACAGAAATATTCTGAGGCACAGAAAAAACCCATAACAATTGCTGATCCCTGAAAGGTCTGAAAGATCTTTATGAAAGTTAGCTCGTCATTCAAGAACCCTGGATATGCCAAGACAACTGGGGAGCAAGTGTCCCCTTTTCTTTGAGTCCAGACAACTTGGACATGTCTTGGTACCTGTAAGTATTAGTGAATTAAACTTAGGAAAAAATGACAGTAGGTAAAAATGAGTTTGCTTAAAGAGTCTGTAAACAAATAAATACCACCTTCTCCTTCTACAAGACCCAGCACTGAATTTTATTACTCTAATTTTCCTACCCCAGCAGCTGAGATACAAGCTTTATATTTATGAATTATATCCAGTTCACATAAACTTTGGATGGACAACACACTATTTACATTCTGCAAAACCTAAGATTAAAAAAAATGGAAAGGCAGTATGCTGGGAGACCTTACCTGTACTAAGTTACTTATGTGGCAGTATAAATTGCTGCACAAATCCCTGGAGGAAAGAGGAAAAAGGAAGGAAATATTTCTAAACGGGGTATTTCCAAAGCACATTAGTCGCTCACACTAGCAGTTAATACTTGGGATGACAAGTCAAATAAAGTAGATGCAATACTTGTGGGGTTTTTTTGTTAAAACCACAAAATCAGGATGTACCTTGGCTCCTTGTGCAAACAGCTCTGAGAAGGTATCAAAATACTCTATCAAGTGTAAAGGTAGAAGATATCGAGAATTTTCCACAAAGTTCTTTTGGTAAGTAAAGATTGATCCAACTTACAGCCCTGTGGGGCCACAACAAACCCACAGAAAATGATGCTTCCCTTTACTTCCACAAATCCATCCTGCAACAGGAATTTCCTTTAAGTATTCAAGTTTATCTATCAGCCTGTTAGAACAAATTATACAAAATACCAGCAACTTCTAGAAGTGTATAATTTTTCTTCTACTCCAATCACATAACGTTTTTCTTTAAAAAAATAAATTATTAGGTAAAGACAAAGCATAAATGCTGAGAAAACTGGACCTAAATGAATTCTTCCACTATGCATTTTGTCTAATACTCTGTGCATAACCAACTTGTAGTAATAACATTAAGTCTGACTGTTACATGTACATTGCTGATGTTTTTATTACTCTGAAAAAAGATACGCACTCCTAGAATGAAGGGTACACAAATAAAAAATAAACCCACAAATATAAAGATGCTTGCAGCTAAATCCCATATTTCTTCAACAGTGCATTTAGATACATATTTATTTAGATTTATTCTACTTATTTCACAGCCCTTGTACCTTCCTTGGAATGGTGTACAGATTAAAAAAAACCCAACTAGAACTGAGCCAAAAAAATTCTGAGGAGAGGAAAAAAAATGTTAGAAGGAAGAGGAAAAAAAGAGACAGAAGAGAAACCCCTGAAAGGTCAGAATCAAGAGTTACATGTATCTAGGCAAATAAAGAGTTCTGAAATAATTCTCAGAAACTATCTGCAGAAAGTACTTTGTACAAGATAAGATGCATTGAACTAAAGGTCACAGCACAGATGAAAAGGGCAGCTTTTCCAGAAGCTGAAAAAAGAAAAGTTACGATTTGGTTCTCTTTCCTTTGTCTCAGTCTCTCTAGTACAAAAGTATATAACACGCCAAATACAATGCTCTTTAAAATTACCTTCTGAGGAGGACATAAAAGCCTTGCCTGCCTTTAATACCAACCATGTGACTCAAGTCACTAACTACTGGAGACTCAAACTCAAGTCCTCTAGTGAACTGGGACATCATGTGTGAAGGCGTCACCCTTTCTCCGCTGACTTGTGCGATGCAGGACACAAACTGCAAGGGCATCAGGAGAAAGAAATTCCTGCCTAAGACTCAGTTATTCCCTCTAATACATCCAGTGTTTCAGTCCACATGCTCCTTTACCGTAATGTCTCAAATTTTTGCAAATAGGTTCACTGATGAATAATCTATCAGGGATACAACAAAGATATTTTCTCGTCATTCCAACTCGATTTGTAAAAAGAAAAAGTGAATAATGGGTTCTTTCTATCTAGTCCCCACAAAACTTTTCAAATGGGGTTCAAAAATGCTTGTTGCATTGGGAAGATCCTAGAAGTAACACCAGAACACTTGTATATACATTTGGAACCTTATTTGCTAAAAAAAAAACCCAAACAAACAAACCCCACAAAAAACATCCAACCACCAAATTCCAGGAAATAAGTTTATGTCTCATGAGCAGCATAAAAAAAATATAAGTCTATAAACTTCTATTTCTTTTTATCCTCAGAACTTAAGTCTCAGCCTGTAATCCTAAACTTTAGTTCCAAATTTATTACCTTTCAAAATCCTTTTAAATAGTATGTTTGAACTCCACCAAACTTCTGTAAAGTTAAAATTTGTACTGTATGTTTATTCTTAGTGACGAGGACTATTTTATTCCCAAGAGATACTAATTCTCAGCATTGTTATTGCAAGAAAGCCAGAGAGGGACTTTTTATCAGGGCATGTAGTGACAGGATGAGGGAGAATGGCTTTAAACTGAAAGAGAGTAGGTTTAGATTAGATATTTGGAAGAAATTCCTTATTGTGGGGGTGGTGAGGCACAGGAAAATGTTGCCCAGAGAAGCTGTGGATGTCCCATCCCTGGAAGTGTTCAAGGTCAGGTTGGATGGAGTTTTGAGCAACCTGGTCTAGTGGAAGGTGTCCCTGCTCATGGCATGGGGGTTGGAACGAGATGATCTTTAAGGTCTCTTCCAACCCAAGACATTCTATGATTCTATGAAACAGCCCCTAGTGACTCCTGGTTATATGCCACATTAGACTACTTTTGATAAAACAAGCAATTTTTAGGTTTAGGAATAGGGAAAAAAGCAATAGAAAAATATTTCAAAGCAGTGATGTAAAATTGTCTTTTGAATAAATAATACATGAATATTTGTATTTGCTTAATTTTTTTTTCTGAATGTGTGGCTAAACCTAATTTTATCCGAAGAATTTATCCCATCAATCCATTTGCCTGTCTCAGAAGGTGTCACAATTCACTCAAAGACATTAGATGAGATATTAGATTAGGGAATTTTTGCCTTAACGATAGGATTAGACAAGTATTTCACAGTGACTGCAATGACAGCTGCATTCATCTCCCTCACATACCAGACTCAAAGTCAGGAGCAAATTCTCAGTTTGCAAGCCAGAACTTGTTCTGCTGGATATTTACAGCCAACCACTGAAATCCCCCAAACATATTAATGATGTCAAACAGGACAGAAATAGATCATCTTGCTTGTTTTGACCTGCATTCATAAAAGAAATAGAAACAGAAACCTTGAAGAAAAAGATTCTCTTTTATCACAGCCACTATGAAAGCACTAAACCACTCAACTTTTCTTTAAAGAACCACTTCAAGAAAAGGAATCATGTTTGTGTCTCTCTCTTCATGTTTTATCTCTCTACTTACATTGTGAGAAACAAAATCAACTTTTTCTTTTCATTCCAAAGCCTTTTTTTTTTTTTAATGGGAGACACATTGATACCAACAGGATCTGTAGGGAGGTTCATCATGCCATTTCACATGCCACTAAGTAAACGAATTACACTTGTAGATGTCAGTCCCTAACATAATTTAACCACCACAAACATGCATTACCTCTGTATCACCTTACAGTAATCCATTTACCAGATGGTTTGCAGAACAAAACCAGGAACAGAATCATAATGAGGAAATACTTTCAGCCTCATTCTTTATTACTGAAGATTTTACTGACTGATAAAAGTAAGAATAGGTACCAGATTTAGTAGGAAACTGTTTTCAGAAAGGACCCTAAAAAGCAAGCTCTGTGACTTCAGAGAGTAACAGGCAAAAACTGGTTTTAGGAGATCTCAAGTCTAAGAAATCCTTCAATGTCTGATGTTTTTAGGCAACACTGCTTTGTGCCCTATAGAATAATCTTTCTGATCTCCAACTCAGCAACAAAGTAAGAAGTAGAGTTTTAATTAAAAATTAATAAAATAAGAATACTTACGCTGACCCCACCGTCCTGTTCTTGGGTTCAAATAATTTGGATAAAGTCCATTAGGACGATCCATTTTTTGAAGTAACTTCCGAATGTGCATCACCTAAATTAAATCAAGAATCAGGATCACTGATCACTGATCACAACGTCCATCTGCTCTCTGCACACAGTTAAATCTTTTTTCCTTTTTTTTTTATTTTTTTAGTAGAAAATTTTCTTAATCTGAACCACAAGCTTTCTTGAGGGCTTCCTTCAGATTTGTATGGTTTTGTTTTTAAAGGATTGTTCACATAAACATGTTTAAAAATTATGATTTTTAAAGTTATGCTGAAACAAATAAGAAAACTTGTGTTGTCATATTTCTACTTGAAAAGGACATCTACTTGGTAATAGAAATACAAGCATGAATAAATTTACCTGCTACCAAGAATGCAGAGAGAATTCAATACAGAAAGTACTTCTCCTTTAATGCAATTTATGATGAAACAGAATAAAAGACATTAGTATGATAAAAGAAACTGATTTTGAGACTCACCTTGTTGTAGTATACAGGGTCCCCTGTCAAATAGCTGAGGTGGACAAATTCCATGTGCAGAGTACCAAACTCAGCAAGGATGCTGCTGCCAGCAGAAGCCCAGCCCCAGTTGCGACCGACACCACTGAATTCCAACAAATATGCATAAAAAAGGGAGAAGACGACAAAAATTTCAGAATTACTGCATACAACACAACTATCACAGCTAATTAAACAGGTAACATCTAAATTTTAACCTGTACTTCAGATTATAGGAATTGTGGTTTGATTGATCAATTAGCTCACTGATTGGGTCTTTTTCAAAAAAAGATACCATGACCTCATCAAGAAAAAGTCCTGCAATTAAAAAATACAATATCTTGATGTCACAGAAATACGATGACTTAACACTGGGCTCAATCTCAGTTGTTGTTTATTTACTGTATGTTTCTAAGAACAAGAAACAAAATGAGACAAGTATATTTCCAAAGACAGTAACGTTTGCTTCCTTCTCCTGCCAAAGACCTGCTGTGTTCCCTTTACTTGTGTGGGATGTGCTTCTCTATCTGTATCTACACTGGAATACACTATGTTTACTGTAGGCAGAATATATGAGTTCCTCAGGCTCACCTAAAGAATTAGCAGAAAGTGTCACATACCTCCTGTCTTTTTCACTCTAAGTGCTACTATCTTGCAAAGTCATAATTCCTAATTTACCTGGTTTAATCTAACGTGGGAGTTTTCACCACCTTTCAGGATCGGGTTATTTAATTTCTGGAGTCAACTACATTTTCCTGAATATTACTTCTACTTTCTCTCACAAAAAATTTCAGTAAGGCTACAATCAATTAGGAATGCTTCTTTATTTTTTAAATTACACTTTGGAAAGAGAAAATGTAAACAAAAAATGTTGGCTATGGAGCAGTAGTTGTAAATCTCACAACACATTTTAAGACACAGTAACCGCTGCTTACAGAGTGTAAAGACACAATCATGGCCTGTCTCAGAGGGTTTTTTGGTTTTTTTTCATTATGAATACAAAAGGTAATATAACACAAGTCAATAATTTTCCAAATATTTCCTTCAGGTCTGGTGTTCTACTGCATGTCAGCCTCAAGACAAGTGTTCTCATATACACCTTCTACTGCCGTTGCCCTCTGGCATGTAAGCCACTGTTTTCTGCTGTGATGCTGGCTGGTTCTACATGTTACTGAGAGACTGACACAGTAAATGCATAAACGACACTACCATGCAGGAAATTTCTGGCACTCCAATTCTTTCCCCTCCACCTACTGCAAATCCTTCTCCCTGTCCCGTCTTTCTGATTGAGTTTTGAGACCTGACCTGATGGTCCCCATGTTTTACTGATAAGTAAAACAAGCAATGCATCCATTGCTTCAGCTTCTTAAACCTCACTACCTGTGTTGCTCGAGCTAATGAGGCAGATGCCTGTGCTGACTGAGGAGCATGGGTCACCAGGGCCCTTCAAACACACAGGAGTCATGGTGCAGGTTTGGGCTAAACAAAACAAAAATAAAAAACTAATTTATGCACAAAGGAACTTCAAGTCCTAATGCAGAAAGAACACAGTACTGAGTAAATTATAACGTCATGCAGGAAGTGCGTAGGGAAATTTAACCCAACAATACTGACTGTACAAAAATGGTCCAAAAAATGGCCTGAGTGGGGAAAGGCAGCATGGGCAAAGAAGAGAAAACCAGGTAAGGGTGATGATGCCCTGCACCAGCAGAAGGGCAAACCACAGCTCCATGTTCTTTACCCAAGGCTGACAGCAAAGCCAGGAGACTATCCTTACCACAAAAAGGCATTTAAGGCTCTCAAAAAAGTCCTAAATCTCTTCACACTCCTAACAAAGCACGACAAATACCTCTCCCAAAAGGAAAATGATGTAAAACAATTCAAAACTCTCTGCTATTTACTATCCCACATTGCTTAAGTACACACACAATCTAGACATGCATCACAATTCAGCTAGTGTTGAAGAACATACTAAAATTTAAAGAATGCCTTGCATCAAAAATGCTCTCAAAATCTGAGGGAAATCCCAGAATTGAGGAAGCAATACAAGATGAATTAGGCAAGGTAATTCCCTTCCACACCGCAATACAGACCATCTAAGTCCAGTCTGACCTGAACAGTCATGTAAAGGAGCCTCTCCATCTGCACAGACCATAGCAGACTTCTGCACACTAGACTTTATACCCAAGCTAAACATAAAATGAAATAATATCCTCAGAGTCCTATCATCTTCTCAAATGCTGTGAGTCTTCTAAAGGTAACATACACCTCACACTGTTCAGAAAACCTAGTAAGTTCAACCATGTCCTGCAAACAATTTTATTTTCTAATAGGCTCTTCAATGACTAAAGAAACAATTATTAAGCTCTAGGACAACACACAGAATAATACACTCGGTACAGTCCAACAGCACATTGAATGCTTATTGCACAATGAGAGGAAAAAACCGATGACCATAATTTATTGCAGTTAATGAGTTAGAATGCTCTAAACTCTATTAAAATTATTCTAACATGCCAGGAATGACAGTTTGTCTCCATCTTCTACAGCTCCCCTACTAAGAAAAACTGATGTATGCCATTACTAATTTTAAGTTGGAGGGAGGGGGAGGAACACACGTCCCCACAAAAGAAAACTCATTACCTTTTCAGATTCACCATTGCCCATGGTATACCCGTAGGTGTGTTGAAAGCTGGAAGAAGTTTTCCTGCCAGTTGCACTGCTTTGATCTTGAATACCTAAGATAGTAGGATCAATTGCAAATAGTTACAAAGTCTGATTTATCTCCAAGAACTATAAAGACTGAAATTTCCCCGCCCCACCTACTCCTTTGTATTAGAAAAGCTTTATATTGTAAAAAACATATTAACTTATAATTTTTTGCCACTTGTTCACTTTATAAATTTCATTTAGATTTGAACACGAAAAGCAAACTTGTCATTTTGATTTTTTTCCTTCCAGGCTCTCCAGCAATAGTTCTTATATTCCTATTACAGAAGAAGAATCAGCTCTCCTCCCACCTTCCTCCGCAGATACTGGAAATTTCAAGTGCTTTCTAAAGCAGTCTTTAAATCATTCTTTATATTGATAGCTAAAAATCAAGACACAACTCTCCTACCCGAATATTTTAACTTTAACAAAATTCCAATCTCTTTTTATTGAGATTAGTGCAGACAGAGTTCCTATTCTTTCACAAACAGAGTCTATGCAAAACCATATATGCAGTTTCCCAGTTTTTCCTTCACTGCTAATGCATAGGAAAAACAATTCCTCCCTAGTCTGATTACTTAGAGAAACTATTGAAAGAACAAAATCTCTGTCATTTCTAGTGTTGTTTCTACTTACTTTTGGAACATAAATCTGTAACAGCCTTATTCAGACCCTAATGGCTGTTAAATAAAAGAGCAATTGGGAGACAGCTCCTTCTAAGCCTACATGAAGCACATTTTCCAAAGGAGGCATATTTGGTAGATGCCCATTATATGAATCTGCTTTTACCAGTTAGTTGCTTTCAGTATTCACTACATTTGTGGAGAAGTATCTCCTAATTTGGAGATACGTTTTTCACCAGTTTGAAGCACCATATGAACATGTAACAAAAAGAGCTACCATGCCCCAAAATAATTTATGCAACATGGACATAGTATAGAAACATTATCTCTCCAGTGACCAGTGATAGGACACGAGGAAACTGAATGAATTTCAGGAGAATTTCAGATTGGGAAAAGGTTCTTCACTGAGAGAGTGGTCACAGCATCAAGCCCATCAGAACTCAAGGAGCATTTGGATGGTGCTCTTCATCACAAGGTTTAGTTTTAGGTAGTCCTGAGAGAAGGAGGGAGTTGGATTCAACAATCCTTCTAATTTGCAATATTCTACCATTCCGTTATTATCAACTACCTGACCAATACTCATGTAATCAAGAAGAATAAGACCTTTAAGAAGGACTACATGATAGTTCTGTTGGATTTCTAAAAGGCATCTTGCCCTTTTATAAAGCCTATGGGAGGAAAACAGAAGAAACGCTTACTGGAGAAACAAGCTGAAAAATAAGCAATCAAGAACATCCTTATTTTTCATATGAAGGTGGGAAAAAAAATCAATATCTTAATGTTTGAGGAGATGACTAGTGAGACATGAAATAAACCAGAACAAAATATTAAAGATGACATCTAACTGTATTTGATGCACTGTAGTATGGAAAGATGGAGGTGGATCTGAAAGCAATGAGCCAGGAAAAAGAACTTTTACAGAGGTACTTCAAATGATTGTAAGATGGGATACGTTTAAACTGAAAAAGAGGAATATGTCTAAACTGAAAAACCTCAGAATATTATTTGATAGAATTGTGAAGTAACAGAAGCAATATGGCTTGAATGATTTTTAGCAAAGAAACTGACAAGAGACAGTGTTTGAGAAAATATGCAGAAATTTAGCAGTAAAATTCAGATAACACATTGACCTTAAATAAAGGACCAAGTCAAAATTAGAAGGCATAGTATAAGACAGAGGTACAATACACGTGCAGTCTATCACAATTGGGGAAAAAGAAACTGTAAAGAGAACTAAAAGCTCATTCTTGGCCCAGTTACATATAAACGACCTGATTTGCATCTACAGATAAGTGTCAAAAATTCATACTGAACTTTTAGATTTTTAAGTAGTAGATGGGTCAAGACCAGACAGAACTATCTACAGAGAGTCATCTAAAGGGAGTTCCTCTACAGCACAGACAAGTTTTAACACCTAATAGAGAAAAGAATGATGACTTCCAGTTAAATGATAAATTGTTTGAAAAGACATTTTTAGCATTAATTTGTTTAGCTTCAGCATTTGGATCCTGCACCTTATGAAAGCGCTACACATTATTGCATTATTCATTAATAAAAGATACTGAAGCAATAGGGTAAGAATATTCAATGGGAGAACATCCTTACAAACATCCTTTCTAGAAGAATATTCTTAATGGTTAATTATTTACATACTGCTATCCAGTTTTTAATCCATTTGAAACGTACTACAATATCTGAGGAACAAGCTATAGTACTGAAGGAGTTTTTAGTAGGAGTGTACAAGGTTGAGCTGATCTAAATGTACACGAATCTAGACAAGACAGTCAAAGCAAGGCATCACTGAGCCATTTCAGCATCAGAGCACCAGCACTAACTCCTGGTTCAGATAACCATGTTGTTAGCAGTAGCTGCCAAAACTTGCTGTGATTAGAGGCACCCTCCTGTCACTTCCATTGGGGTTGAGGACTCTACATAGCACTGACTTAGCATCAGAAGGTATAAAACTCCCTCTATATCCCTCTCACCCAAGACTGAATGCAAGGAAACAAACTGGTTGAAGACATGCCTTTACTTTCTATTCCTGCCATCTGTCTTTTCTCGGCTGCTGCTTCTGCATAACAAAACCACTGAGTACTTGGTATAATGTTTACTTATGCAGGCTGGAGTGAGAGCTTGAGACAGTTGCACAGGATTTTGTGAGGGCCAGGTGACCAGAAAAGCGTATTTGGAGAGATGCAGGGAAAAGAAAGAAATGTAGCAAGCAGTGGTGCGTAAGGTGCCTTTTATGGGAAATTGTAGATTTGTCCCGAGTGCTCTGCTGAGCTTATTAAAATGCCTTCTTTTAGCATGTTCTAGACAGTAAAAGCCTCAGGCTCTAGGTTTTAAATAATAAGCTGTTATCAGACAATATGATTACTTATCATACAATATTTTTAATTTTTTTTTTAAAAAGCAGGTTGAACAGATAGATTCTATTTTAGCCTTGGCAATATCCTGTTGACAGGCAATGCATTTAAAAAAAAAATATAGACAAGAAGAACGGAGAAGAACAAAAAATGAATGGTTGCCTTTTAAAATAGAGCTCATTAGGAAACAGCAAAAGAATTGGGGTTATTTAGTCTAGATAAAAGATGTTCAAGAAAGGACAAGGTAAGGACTTTTTAGTATATAAAAAGCTACAAAAAGGAAAAAGAAATAATATTTTTTTCCCGTGGACATGAAGAACAGAAAATAATACTGAAATGGAATAAGGGAAAGCAAGTTAGTTACTAGGAAAAAGTTGGTAAAAAGGATAACTAAGAATGAAGCATGACCATGACTGCTGCCAAGTCATCACTACAGCTTTTAAAAATGCTCTGTACAACACATACAACTACAAAGACTGAGATGATTGTCCGAGATGTTCCTTGAATCTGTCAAAGAAAAGAAGAATAACTGAAAATTACTCACCTGCCTTACCACTCTTTCAGCCATGTTGCTGCATCGAGTTTGCACGGCAAGGTTTTGGTAGGAGGAAGACTACAAGGGTGGTTTCTTTGAGAAATTGCCAGAAGCTTTCTGTGTGACCAACAGAGCCAATGCCAGGTGGCTCCAAGACAGACTCACCACTAGTCAAGGCCGAACCCATGAGCATTGGTGGTAGCACCTCTGGGATAATGTATTTAAAAAGAAGAAGGTAAAATAACAACTGCAGAACAGCAACTGCAGCCAGAGAGAGGAGTGAGAACATGTAAGAGAAATAGCCCTGCAGACATCAAGGTTGGTGCAGAATGAGGGGAAGGAGGTGCTCCAGGTGTCAGAGCTTCCCCTGAAGCCTGTAGGGATGACCATGGCGAGGCAGGCTGTCCTCCTACAGCCCATGGAGGTCCATGGTTGAGCAGAGACCCACCTGCAGCCTGTGGAAGAACCCCACAACAGAGCAGGTGGATGTCTGAAGGAGACTGTAACCCCATGTGAAACCCATGCTGGGGCAGGCTCCTGGCAGGATCTGTGGCCCTATGGAGAGAGAAGCCCATGCTGGAGCAGGTTTGCTGGCAGAACTTGTAACCTTGTGGGGGACTTACACTGGAACAGTCTGTTCTAGAAGGACTGCACCCCATGGAAAGGACCCACACTGGAGCAGTTTGCAAAGAACTGCAGACCGTGAGAAGGACACACGTTGGAGAAGTTCATGGAGTGCTGTCTCCTGTGGGAGGGACCCCACACTGATGCAGGAGAGGAGTGTGAAGAGTCCTCCTCCTGAGGATGAAGGAGTGGCAGAGAAAATCTGTGATGAACTGACTGCAAACCCCATTCCTCTTTCCCCTGCACCACTGTGGGCAAGGAGATAGACAAAATCATGAGTGAAGTTGAGCCTCTGAAGATGGGAGGGGTGGAGGTGGGTGTTTTAAGATTCAGTTTTTATTTCTCATTATCCTACTTTGATTTGATTGGTAATAAATGAATTTCCCCAAGTCAACTTTGTTTTGCCCATGGTAGTACTTGGTAAGTGATCTCTCCCTATCCTTACCTTTACCCATGAGCCTCTCTTAATATTTTTGTTTTTTCCTCTTCCCTGTTCAGTTGAGGAGGGGAGTGACACAGCAGCTTTGGTGGGCACCTTGCATCCAGCCAGGGTCAACCCACCACAGTTCCCTGGTAATGAGACGGCTTGTGCCATACACGTAAATGGAAAATGTTTTGTCTCTTGGGTTATTGTATCTACTCTGTAGACCCACAGAGCACCTTTGTAACTGGTGCATAAATCATGGAGACTATTCACCCTCAAGTTTCTTTGCTAGCACAAAGCTCCCAAGTATCAAACCCTATAAGAGTGAGAAAGTCACAGAAACCACAAAGTCAACAGCCCTCAAAAAGAATGCTGCTCTTGCAGGGTAACTCCACCTTTTTCAAATATGCATTCACACTTGCAAAAATCACAGAATTCAGTATGCAGTGGCCTTAAG